TGCAGCAGGAGCAGGCCGCGGGCGCCCTCCGCACCTCCAGCTGCACTGCTGGGTGCTGGAGGCCAGGACGAGCCGGCGCGCCTCGCCCTCCTTGACCTCTTTGACCTGGAGCAGGAGGTGCCGGAGGACGGGCCGGGGCCGGGCGTGCGTCGCCGTCCGCGACCTCCTTGACGTGGACAGGAGCAAGGCCGCGGGTGGCCTCTGCGCTGCGCGAGGAGTACTGCTCGGTGCCGCGGTCTTGGTGGATAATACCATGTCTACCTTGGTGCCGGGGGTCGGGACGGGGACGGGGTTGGCGTGCTTTTCGCCGTCCTCGTGTTAGAGCACCTCCCCAATCTCGTAGTTTGGCCTGTGGTCCGCTAGTTAGCCCCGGCTAGCTCTAGAAATATTATAAAGTTTGAAGCAGAACGTCATTTAGGGCCGACCCCTTGGTTGTTCAACCCCTTTCTATTTGGCACCCGATGATCCGACTGAGCTGAAATTTTGTGAACTTACTTGAATTCACTACCTTGAACTTCTGTCAAAATTTGAAGTTAATCCGTTTCACCGTTTCTGAGATGGAGTCAAAATGCCTGTTTTGATTTTGGCTATCATCTCGAGGTCTTCCTATGGTACCTTCCCCGACCTCCGAGGCGAAGAAGCCCTCTCGATGCAAACGAAGATTTCTCTAGTGGTGGGCATTTGCCGAGCCTACAACGCACAGTATTATAGTCTTCTACAGTTAGGCTAAATGTCCGCCACTAATTATATGGTGGTAGGATGCTTTTTCTCCCTAAAATAGCTGAAATAGAATTTTGTGTCGTCTACAAGACAATCGCGTCACTCCCGCCATAAATCAGATGTCTGGTCAAGTTATTTTAAAATAATTTTAAACCTCATTTATTCCTTTTGCCTAGTATCATATTTCTGGTTTTCTTTAGTATCAAATTGTTAAATTAAAAAATACTGTTTTCGCCCCCCTTTAAACCTGTGGAAGTCCATTCATTCCTTTTTAGTGTGTACGTTGGCAGTCCTCGTCTACATTTTCGAACTGTCTTCTCCATTCGGACTGCTTTGCATCAAGGTCAGCTGCTTGCCAAAATGTTCATGCAGTGAATAACTTTTCTTACAAAAAAATTAGTACAAAACAAAATAATTCCAACTTCTGTAATTACATTGTTTATATGGAGGGCACTCCGCCACAAGGGACACGCCGAAAAAGAGGACCCTACAAGCTGTACGTTAAAAACAGAGGAGGTCACCATGTTCCTTCCTCTACAAGAAAGTACTACCGCAATTCGGAGCAGGTACGTTTGTTTGTGTGGAATATTGCTATGATTTAATCAAAAATCAATAAAGGCTGCAGTTTGCCATCACCTCATTTCTCTGTAGAATTTCAGGTGGTGATGGAGTGCTCTAGGTTAGGTTTCATATCACTGCACAAGTTCACTTTTGTTTACCTATATGGATGCATCCTTTAACTAGTTAATTACTCTAGAAATGTTCTTGTTAAAGCAGGATACACCTTTAAATCTCATTTTATATCTGTCTCAGTCCTTCTGAATCTCCGGTGTGCTAAAAGTGTACCCATGAGATAAATAATATTTGTTTGTTTTGAAGTTGATTACATGTACACGTAACTTTTTTATGCACTCTGTGGCTTTTATGTGTAGCTTGAGCAACTAGATAAAAAACGAAGTGTTTCAACTGTGTAATACAAATGGTTTACATGTTTACAGGGACTTCGAGTTGGAGGTCAAGGAAGTACTGCTAGGAGCAACAATACTCAATCATCAGGACAAGTAAGCAAGTTTTATTTCAAACTTTTCCCATTTTTAAATGACTGCAAGGCCACTATTGGCATCTCTTAAAATTGTTTATTTTTATAGCATATCAGGAATGATTCTGAAAACAGCTCAGATGAAGGGACTGAACGAGAAAGTGCAAATTCTTATGATGGAAGAACTGAGCAAGCGAACGGCAAAGATAACCATTCAAATTCTCATGATGGAACAACCAATCAAGCAACAAGTGCAGAAGATATGGTAAGTTTAAGTTATACAACAACTCTGCTATTTTTAATTTTTAATGGAAAACAATAACTTTACTTTTTTTCTTTTTTAGTTTTTTCTAAACCCTGAATCTGCAGCCTCATGCCGACTAGATCACAGATTGTTACACAAAGAACAAACTATAATTGTGGTATGTATAGAAGTATGAACAGAAATTGCTGAGCCTTATTCTCAGGAACCTTTACTTTGGTATCAATATTTTTTTGTCCCTCCTAATTTGTATTCTTTTTTTCCCTTGCAGGCCAATGTAAACATTGTCAATCAACCATCTAGAGATGCAGCTCAGAAATCACCTGGATATTTATCTGAGACTGAGGCACCAGACAATCACTTTGTTAGTAAGCCATACACTTTATTAACTTTAGTTTTTCATTTGCTAAGCATGTAAACTCATAAAATGTTTTTTTTCCCTTTACACTTCCCTGTTGTAGTCAATTAAATTTCTTTTTCCTTTCATTTGCAGATAGATGACCATGGTGGTGGCTCTAGTGACCATGGTGGCTCTAGTAACGGAGAGGATAATGAAAGCAATCCTTCCACTGAGAATAATGAACAACACAGCAACCCCTCCAACAGTGATAATGAAAGCCATGGTTTTTCTATTAGAAGTGATGATGATGATGATGAGGAGGAGGAGGAGGAGGAGGAAGAGGAAGAGGAAGAGGAAGAGGAGGAGGACGACGACAATAATAATAGTGGAGATGATGATCATGATAACCATCGAGAGCTTGCTGTGAGTTGTTTCATATATACTACAACTAACATTATTTTGATAAGAAATGAAACATTAAACTTGTAATACCCTGGGCCAAAAATTATTTTAAATCATATTATTGCAATCTATACTGATATAACAAATTAAGTAAAATCTGTAGCAGTTTGTGTTGTTATTTTCACATTTTAGAAGTACATGGTGCATCTCATAGTTTTTTTGAGCAGTCATTTGATAAATGGTCACTTGATATTTTAGTTTACATCCCTATCTTTCTATTCTTTTTGTATTGCAAATATTTGTCACTGATCCTTGCTTCTGGTTTTCAGGTAAATCCACCAGATGCACTCCCTGTACAAAACTTTAAATTGATGTTACGGGAAAATTACTCAGCTAGAATTAATGCCCCTGTAGTGGCAACAAGAGGAAATGCGTTACTAATGGTACTAGAAATGGCAAAACAAAATTCTGACACTGTTAAAGGATTTATTGACAGTGCCAACTTAGTAAATTCTCTGTTTGCTACTCCTGTGCTGCCAACATCAAAATTTCTTATGGACAAACTTCTCAGGATTGACATGGGGATTGAGAAGCATTATTATTGTCCTAAGTGTAAACATGACTTTGGTATTGTTCAAGAAGCCACAGATTTAAAATGTGCAAGGTGTCAACCAGAAGAAGATACAGATGATAGTATGGAAGAAGCAGACAAAGAAAAAAATGAAAAGGTAGAACACTTTGTTATTTTCAATCTAGTCACCCAACTTGAAATTGTGCTGAAAAAAGTATTCAAATCGGGAGTTCAGTTATTTAAGCCAAGTTTTGCATTAGAAAGGGAAGCTGGCCATTTTACAGATGTGTATGATGGATCTGTGTATAAGAGTTTTGCAAAAGATTTTGATACTAAGGAAGAAGTCAAGGTAATTTCTTTAACAGTTTGTACGGATGGAAGTCCAATTTTCAAAAGCTCAGCTTTGTCAATTTGGCCCATTTTTGTGATGATCAATGAGTTACCACCAGGACCAAGATTTTCAAATCTGCTTTTAGGCGGATTATGGTTTGGAAAATCTCAACCTAACATGAAATTATTTCTCACACCATTTGCTAGAAAACTGACAGAGATGTCTTATGGATTCACAATTAATATCAATGTGGAAACAGAGTGGAAAATGGAGGCACATCTTCTTGGATGTTGTGTTGACAGTGGTGCAAGAGGAGCTGTGCAATTCATCAGCACTCATGGTGGATATTACTCTTGTAATTGGTGTGAAATACCTGGCGTTTACATGTTTGGTGCTGTAAGGTATCCAATGATGCCAGAACGTCCACATCTACGTACCTGCAGGAACTTGCTTGACAATGGCATTGCCTTCACTGCTGCTGTTTCTGCACGACAGCGATTCCCTGTTGATCGACTTGAAAGAGCTGCCCTTTTCAAAGGAGTTAAGGGTGTAACTCCACTTGCTGAGTGTGACAGTTTTGACCCAGTGGATGGATTTATTTTGGAACATGCTCATTGTGTTTACCTTGGTATAGTCAGAAATTACGCATCCATTTGGCACTCAATGTTAAGTAAGAAAGGAAATGACAGAGAAGACAAGCTTCAACTTCTTAACGAGAGACTGCAGAGTTTGCGACCACCCATTGAAGTAAGAAGACTCCCTCGAATCTTGGAAGAACGCATCAAATGGAATGCTAAGGAATCTGAAAACTTTCTTCTATTCTATAGTATTCCTTCAGTACAAGGATTGATTCAAACTAAGTATTTGAAGCATTGGAATCTCTTGGTGCAAGCGCTTCACCTTCTGCTTAGGAATGACGTCACTGTACATGATTGTAATGTAGCTCGGACTCTTCTTTGCCATTTCTGTTGTGATATACATGAGTTGTATGGGGAGCAAGAATTAACTTTCAACTGTCATCTTTTAACACATCTTGCTGAACATGTCTTAAGGTGGGGTCCACTATGGGCAATTTCTGGAATGGCCTTTGAAGATGGCAATGGTGCCCTGAAGAGAAAGATAAAGGCTGCTAAAGGAATCCCAAACCAGATACACAGGAATTTGTGGCAAGAGTGTGCTCTGGATGTAATACGAGAAGAATTTTCAAGCATTGAAACAAAGGTGTTCTGTGATTCTCTACGTTCCAAACAGCTCTTGAAAAAAGGTGTGTTCACTCCATCTTGTAACTTTATGGGAAAGTGTGTCAAATTTCAGCCATCTCCTCGAGAGTCATGGCTGTGCACACAAATATCTCTTGATCCCAAAAGATGTGTAGAATATAAGAAAATTATCAAAGACAAATGTGTTTTTACAAGTGCTTCCAAAAAGAAAAGTAGGACTTGCAATGTTGTTGCAGAACTGCAAGATGGTAGTATTGTGAAAATTCAGAAACTTTTAATGGAAGTTAATTCGCATACAGGATATGCTACCATAAATCACTTTCAGTGTGAAAGCATGTACCAGTTTCCAGAGGGAGTGGAATTGCCTCTAAATAAACAGGCAGTGAGGAGGGTTGTCTATGAGGAAAGAGACTTGCAAATTGTGCCAGTTAGTAATCTCAAAACTGTGTGTGTGTACTCAAGATTTCCTCACGGTACTTTTGTTAGTCCTATGCCAAATATTTGTAATCTTTATTAGATAATATTTCACTTTT